TTGCAGTAATAAGCAAAATATGCTTAAATGTTTTAAATTAATCATTTGAATAAATCATCATATTATTTGTTATTTATGCATAATATTTTAAAATTAAAATAGTCAATCTTTGTACATGGACAGTCAGTTTAGGAGCACCTTATTATCATATATTGTTGGGTATCCAGTATAATATTTTAATTTTTGGTTTAACCATGGAAGTTCTAGGAGAGACATTAAGTTAAGACATATTAGAAGTATAATATTATACTTTAATCTTTAATAATAATGACACCACATTACCACAATCATCAAATTTATTATTATTGAAAAATACAGTGATAGAAAATCAATTTTATGCCTTATGCCTGTATATTATTGTAAAGTTAAAAATAATATAGGTACTCCTCGAAATTTTAATGATGCAATGACAATTTGTATGAAGAATTTTTACTTTTTACTAATTAAATTGAAACAACTCAAATTAATTGCAAATTTATAATTTTTATTAATTTGAATATTTCAATTTATATTATCAATATCAGTAAAAAAATATTTAAATAAAAACATAAAGTAAGTATTAAAATAAATACATACTCAGTACACTCCACAAATTTGGGTGGAACACTTGAAATTTGTCTTTTAGATTGTTATGCAGATATGCCTCTTTGGTTTTAGATTCCATCAATACGTATCTTATTGGTATAGACTGAATTACTAAAAAATATTATTTTAATATTTTATATTATGTATTTATGTATAATAATATTTGTAAATGAGTTTTTTTTAATAAATACCTAGTTAGTAATTAATTCCAATGTAGGTACCTACCTAATAAGGATATATTATTTTAAAAACAACTTAATAGGTATTTGTTTGTAATAATTTAAAATATGTTAAATATCCAATGTGCTTGGTATTAATTATTAAGTAGACCAAGATAAATAATAAAATTATTATGACATAATAAAAAAATATAATTTTTCTTACATGATTTTGAATAATTATATGAAAGACGAATAACTGTCTACACGTAAGTCTTGAGGGGATGACTTTAAATGTCCCATTACTCACTAGTCACTAGTGAGATGTTCGGATTCACCATGATTGGTAACAACTTTATTGACGAGTTCAAGATAACCAAACATGATGTTATATTTTCCTTTATCATCAAATATTCACCCCTCGAAAAATCTATGGTTTCCACATTTAAATTTTTGTCTATTGCCACCTAATGTTTCTCCTAAAGCCCGTAATGTGTCACTCAGGTAACACTGTTTAATTTTTATCTGTAAGAAACTTATCGATTTCACCAGGTATCTACTCAGCCTAACTTTTTTATATATTGATTTCGTTTGCTCATATAATATTATTATATGTAGCTCGACCATTTAAAATACATACATTTTTAACATTTAAACACTATATTATACATACACATATATTAAGTACCTACTTACGAGATATGATAGATAGGTACCACCTACCCAATAACAAATTATATAGGTAAATGTTTTGAAAATATCATACAGTTTGCCTACTTAAATAAATTCGTATAGGTAATGCCATTTGTCCATTTGTATTTTATACTAAACACAGCGTACACATACTTAACGTACACAACAGTACAAAACTATAAATTAGTTATGCGATAGCTGATAGGCAGTACCTAACCGATAATAGCAATACGTCTTTAAATTCACGTCACCTTGTTTAAGTAATTATATATAAGTAGGTGCACTTTGTTTAGATGAACAGAATCAATGATGGTGTTACTGTGTTAGAACTTAGAAGTTTCTTTTAGAAGGCTATATCAATTAATATGAAATGGCAAAATGTCAATGGTTTTATATCTGAGCAGAAATTACAACTAATATTAAATAATATAATTGATAATCCAAAGAATGACGATTAAGTATTTAAATAAAAGTATTTGAATTTGAAATACAATTAGCCAATAGGCAAGATACAACAATATTTCAAATACTTTATTTAAAAATTATTCTTTACTATAATGATTAATGGTTATTTGTTTTAAATGTACTTTACAGGATTAGATATTAGGAAAAATCCAGATAGTTGTCAGTTGAGCGCTACTTATTGACTATTGTGATCAACTGGTGGTACACCACACTATCTAATAAATACTTCGTTCATCGCTTTAACGAATATTTAAACAATTGAACAACAATAATTATAAAATACAAAAAGAATAACTGTTGAAATATATAACGCGTTTACAAACACAGTCATTATCAAATTAATAAGTAATCACTCGGAACACAAATCACAGTTCTAAGTCCTACTGTTTGTCTTTAGTAATAGCTGGTACCCTATGTCCCTACCAACTAATATATTATCGACGCTTCGATGTTTCTAATAACTCACAATGTCTAAAATAATATTAGGTATATTATGATCATCAGTCGGTCAGTTACAACATATCAACAATCAACTACATGAACGCTAATAATTTGTGGTAAGGACAATTTTCTATGTTATAATATACTGTTCTACCTGTAATAATTATATTAATATAATAATATGTAATAGAAGTATTGTCACAATGGCGTACTTATTTTTTATTAATCCTATTATAATAAGCCGACAAACGTAGAAGTCGAGGGTTTTGATAAAAAAAAAATAGGTATTATTATTATTATAATATTTATAATAGCGGTTTCGGTTTTCTATAAGTTTTTGTTCGGATTATGGAAATGTCGAAATAATGAAATATTTAATGAACAATTTGTTGGTACCTACCTACCAATTTTTTTCGGCAATCTTAATGGGTAAATTAAAATAATTAAATCCAGTAGGTACCTACCCCAAAAGAACAAATGATTTCTAATTTATGATTATTTTAATATTATATATACAATATTGAGAATACGACAAGTTGAGTACCTTCCTATTCCTAAATTGCTCGAAGGTGAGTGCATGTGACTCATATGGAGGTGGACATGTTATTTTATATTCTTAACAGCTCGAGAGAGTTTTACAATGATAATTCGAGTTCATTTTTCTATAAACATTTCACTCCGGGGAAGTAAAATAGTAGGTATGCAACACCACACGTTCGTAGGAAACAATACACTCGCTTTGTTTATAGTTTCTGGAATTTCCAAGGACGGTCAAAAAAATTAATCGTAAAAACTGACAGGTAAAGACGAATAAATGGAAGCAATATTGCTGAATCTCCCATATTTATCATTAACTAATATGTCACACGTTTTTGAATGTTACTCGTGTACTGCTTGGAATAGTTTCTCGAAAATGATAATTGTTGCATTTAAATCTAAAACAATAATATTATATTATGTACCTACCACGCTTGTTTTGTATCGAGGTGATAATTAAGTGTAGGTAGTGACGTAGTGTTCAAATAGATTGGGAGACTATATGGTTTTTTCAACTTTTCGTTTTTACCTGTAACGGCTGTAACTTTTATACAAAACAATTTTTTTTATCATTATTGTTTCACTATAATATTATTATAATCAGTTTATTTCTTCTTTAGCGTAGACTCTGTTTTTGTTTAATATTATGCGATCGAAGATAATTTTAATGCGTATACGTGGTACCTAGCCGGTATAAGTAGGTGTATACTATATAATACTAAAATATTCGGAAGACATGAGATATTATTCAAACGTATTTTCTCATAAACTTTAGCTTATGTTTTTATATTATACTTTATTGAAGTTTGAACTATTAAATTTGTTTTGTCTTGGAAATTCAAAAACTATTGTATTCGTATATTATAACTGATAAATGTAAAATGATAATGTATATAGTCAATATATGCACGCACATATGTGTACACATTACACGGCACGTGGCTTCTATTTATACGACTCCTAACTTTCACTTACAGGGTGGACTTTTTGCGTGGGTACACCATAAGTTAATATTTACAAAAAGTCTACTGTAAATAGATAACTTTTCACTATATAGCAGATTTGCTACCTACCTAAAACCAATCGTAAAATTTCAATGAAAAAACTGCCGAAGCCTACTATTTTTTTTTCAGTTAAGCACAAAATAAATTGCATAAATTATGATAACGCTAATTTAAAAATGTCGGGGTTGTAAGCACACCCAACCCCATTCTAAATTGAGCCCATGCCTAATTAATAATGAATATTGATTAGTTATAATATACAGTGCTCGAATTGGGAAAAATTAAGTTAAGGAGCTCAAACCAACGATTAAAAACTGCGTTCTAATTTCCAAGAGCACAATTATTCAACACAGACATGTGGGGGCTTTGCCCCCCCCACGTTCCTACCTTACATACATTTTGAATACCACTTTTCAGCAAAACATTTTGAATTGCAAAGAGGTAAAATATATTTTGATAGCAATATCTAAATCTTACATTGTTACAGTAGAAAAAAATGTATAATAATATAGGTACCTGTTTAATTAATATTTGATATAAAAAATAATAGAACTCGTTACCTATATAATTTACATCAATTGAAATCAACATTTTAATAAAAATTATTTCGGACATTGGTTTGTACCGTCCCCCGTCCAAGTAAAAAAAAAATAGGGGTACGCAAAAAAAAAAAATAAAAATAGTAGGGGAGCTCCGCCCCCCTGTGCACCCCCCCCCCAATTCGAGCACGATAATAACTTATATACACGATACAACTTATATATACTATATTATCGTATGTTGAGGGTTCATAATATAATAGTATTATATACAGACTAATACAGTAAGTAAAAACATTTTTCTAAAACGGTCAATAGAAATTTAATGTTTAATCATTAATCATTAACGATGTTTTGATATTTTTCCGTGAAAAAAAATGTTCAACTGCACTGCTTGTATATTATACAACAGTACGATTTCACACTCGTCGAATAGCCATTAGCCTACTGGCGTCTGGCACTAATGTGTTATTGGTATATTATAGGTAGGTAGTCATTAATATTTACATAACGATTTCGTTGTCGGATACCTATAATTTACCTATATTATCCACTATTTGTTTACAGATCAAAAAGTAATGGAGGAATTAAAGAAAGCGTTGAAACTCCAAGCGAAGCTGTACAACTCAGAGACGGCATACGTCAGCATATCGACATTAGACATGGGTCGAAAATATCCAATCACTGATTTATCCAAAGTCCAGTCGGCATACGGTTTGCGCATATTGGTTAGCCTTCAAGGAGATCGGAGGATATTGAAAACATATCTACCTAAATCTATTAAGTTGAGTGATTCTTATATTGACGGTTTCATCAATCGGGACAGAAGGTCGGTTCTATATTTAATTTACAAGGGTGTAAAATCTAATGGGGCGTATAAAATCGATTTTGAATGATTCCGGTTCATCAAGTTTATGAAGATTGTTTTGAATTTTGTTAATTTTTTTTTTTCGAAAAAAAATACTTGATATAACATATTTTTTCAATGTCTAAAATATATAATACTGAAAAACATAATGTTGATGTAAGATTAATGTATTAATGTTTGTGAATTGATTATACTCCTCGTGGGTTAAATAATAATATTATAATAAATAACAAAAACTTTAAATACAAAATTAAATTTTTCTTGTTTTTGTGACATAATTGTCTACGATGGTGTATTAGTTAGTATTATTACTATAAGTATATTAAGATTATAAGATTTTTAAATTTTTAGTGTTATCGTTGGACATTCCTGATTATAAAGATAGTGAATCATCAGCATTATATTTATTGCATGTGATAACTATAAGCAATAAGTCAGTTTAGAAATTACATACTTTTATGAAAAATAATAATTATTAGAAATAACTAAAGCCGATAGGATAATAACATCTATGTTACAGAGGTTAGATCCGTACTGCATTGATGGAACAAGGATCAAATATAATAAACTAATTTTAAATGTATATTATTGCAACTTATAAGTTACAACTATAGCCTATAGGATCCAGATATTTATACACTAAATATTGTAGAATATGCACCTCATATTTATGCAAAGAATAATTCAAAAATATCCATAAAATATATACAACATATCACATTTATGTGAACAATAATGCTTGGAAAATGGCATAAACAAAGTACAGTTGTTGTGAGATAATGTTAATTATTTATTTATAATGAAAAAATTAATAGCAAGTTATACCTACATTTAATAATTATCTTATAAAATATTCATTTTTTTTTATTTATGAAGATTAAAATATTTCAGCATATCACATGCTATTACAAGTCTGTAATTATATTACAAATATTTAATATATTATAGTATAGAGTGTGACATTTATGTAATTAGTGATATCGATATGATTCTAATGCATAAACTAAACAATCGGGAATACGATTTCAGATATTGTATAATATACGAGCATTAATAGATAATTAGAATGAGGTTTTACTGGTTCTAGGATAAGAAGTTTAATAGGAAATAATGACCGTTATGGGGACTTACTCGTGAATTAGTTTAAAATTGCGGTTAGTAAAGAAATTATAGGAAATTAGAGGGTTTAATAATGTTTTGAATTCGTTCAAAATGTTTAACGTTGAATCTGGAGTACTGGAGCAGTTATGCTGCCGTATGATAGGCCGGACTAGAGTAAATTTAATAGGTGACGACGTATGGGGACGTGTTGTGAAAATATTCATAAAATGATACATTTATGAGTCAGATTTTTTGAGTATACAATATCTAAATTATAATTTTTTTAATATTTATAAAATGTGCAATTATATTATAAAAAGCTATATAGAATAAATTTTATTTTATACTTAATAGTTTTACCAAAATATAAAAAACAAATAAATCATAGAATCTTCAATCTACACATATTTAATCAGAATTATTTTAAGGCAAGTGTAGAATGATAATAATAATAATAATACTAATACTAATAATAATATTAAGGATTTACATTATACAAATAGGGGTTTTACTTATATTTATTATTATTTGGAGAACAAGAAATCTGGAGTATTTATTGATACGACAGATGAAAATATCATCTGAATATCACGAACGATAAAAATGTTGGAGAGAGATGATGGTAGGAAGTCATTTACCCTATAATATGAATTTGTCGTTTTTTGGTTTTTCATACAAATTACAAGGTTAACGTTTTAACAACAACAAAAGGTCTTCAAGTATCGATAGTGAAGGACCGAAATAGTTTTAAAACATTTAAGAACTTTGTGCTGTCCCAAATCTTATCTTGGTGTAACGTACACAGTTTTGTTGGTTTTATATTATCCAAACAATAGTGGGTATTTACTCTCACCAGAAAACTCACTGGCGATAGGAAGATGAGCGATTAATGACTGTATGTATATAGCTTCCACTGTAAAAATAATTGCTTTTTAATAGTTTTATTTTCCTGAAAAAATATGTAAACACAACATAATCAGTCATAATATTTACCAAAACAATAATATGATATTATTATTAAAGGTTTAGCAACCGTTACAACCCCTGAAAATCATGCGCAATTGGATTGAAAAAAATATTAAAATACATTTTATTTCTAAATAATAATAATATTGATCTTCGACCTAGAGATGTATCTATATTGCCTATACGTTACGCCGTCACAACAGTCAACAGAATATTATTAATAATTATTGTGTTTACTGTTGTCTACTATCAATATCGGTTGTATTCTGTCAAAAATGACAGTGACCAGTGTGTTAATATTTTATTATTAATAATTTCAAAATATTCAAGCTAAATTTATAGATTTTTTGATTTTTTTGTTGTTGTGGGGAGGGGGGGAGGGTGAAATTGGAAAAAGTGAACTAGCCAATCTCAAGTAGACATAAAAACGAATTCAAATCAGTTTTAAAAAGTATTATCGCATTACTAGATCAATCAGTATGATGGAATAAAAATTGGATGTTTAGGCTAAAATAACTGTTTAATATAATTATAAATTATAGTATTTCGTCAGGAACGTTTTTTTCCCAGCCAGCCCGTATCGTGCCATAAAAAACTTCGTTTCAAAAATAAAAAAAATGAAAATTTAAAATGTCTGTAAACAGCCAAAAATATAGTCAACATATTTTGAAAATTTTCCAAGTATAGGTATTGATAAAATAAACATATGGTATAAATTTCAAGTATCTACAGTTACCTATTCGTTTTTGAATTAGAACAAAATAAGAAAACCTCTACAAAAGAAATCGAGAGAATATCTAAAGTTGTAAAAATTTAAGCTTAAAAATCCTTATAAAAAGTTAATTTGATTTTATTTATCTATAGAAAAAAAAATTAAAAAAATTGTAAATTAAAAATGTCCATAAACAGCTCAAAACAAGTCAGAATATTTTGAAAGTTGTACGTTGTATAAAAAATGCTAATAAAACCATTGATTTAACCTTCTGAATGCACCAATTAGATTCACTTTCCCATTGAACAAGGTACTGTTGAAAAAATCGAAGCAGTTTTACTGCACCAAACGGTGATAACAGACACAAAAATAAAAAATAAATTAAAAAAAACAAACATCATTGTAAAATCAATACAGAAATTGTAATTTGTTTAAGCTGAAAATGTAGGAACTATACCCGCACACAAACTATTTTAAGAGTTTTAATGCTATTAAAATGCTATTATAGGGTATCATTCAAATTGTAAGTAATTTACCAGTAAACATAATAATTTTAGTAATTACATTAATCTTATTACATTTTTACGAATAAATTACAGTTAAAAATTTACTAAGCTTATCAGAAATAAATATATTTAAAAAAAATTAAACGTTGATTACATGTATACAAATAATTTCAATAACTTTAAATGTTTTAAATTTTAAATTTTAGTTATATCAATTACAAATAAAATCACCGAATTTTAAAAGAATTATAGTATCTATATAGATATCATTTAATATTAATAATATTTAAATATGTTATATACAGTGTGTTGATACTGTTCACGATATAAGGTACCGCTTAATATTTCAGCTGGATGACTTTGAATTGAAATGGGGCTATCATGAGATGTTAGGGGTATATATATATATTAAAATTTTAAATTGTAACTCCCTCGGTAGCCACACTTTACTTTTTGTTAACAATTTTTGCACAAAAAGTTTTTTTCTATTTATAAAATTGATAAGTTACAGTATGATTAAACTTAATATTTATGAATAATTTGATTTAATTATTGTGTCACCTTACTGATGATGACAATCATGAAAAGTGTAACATGTATATATTTTAAATGAATACGAACGAAACGGGAGCTGCTTTGATAGCGAGTTGAATTATGTAGATTATGTAGACACAACGTAAAAGAGAAACAAAAATAAAAAATAAATGATGGCGTTGTTTACATTGATTTAGTAAAGACATTAAAATTACTTTTGTATGGAGTATTGTGATAATATAGATCATATTGTGTATAATGCGTAGGAAGAGAGGTTGAAGAGTGGGGAGAAAAGAGTTGTCATTGTGCTTGCTTATCGCCTCTACAATTAATGTGGTGACGGAAATAGTGACGACTGCGGCGTAAACAGATATTATGAATATATCTACTACGAAAAAAAATACTACGGATACTGGACAATAATAAACTATGAGTATACTTAATATACAATAATCATTCGTTTAAGATAATAATTAAATTAAATTAAATGTCACAAAGTCGTAAACCTAGCTGTTTGTATATTTTGTACTCTAAGCCTAGCATAGCCGTATAAAGTTAAATAGTTATAATAGATAAAGTACTTTGGAGACCATACACAAAAACTGGAAATTAAATATTACCAATTAGGTACTAGGTGTTACTTCCGAACCGGCCCAAAATCTTGAATTTATATTAAATTGTTATGGATAAGATTGAAACCGGCACAATTCGCACATGGCGATTATTCTCGCTACTCACTAAGACAACCAATCAGAACAAGGATCTTAACAAGTTGACTTCCACGGTATTTTTATAGAACTATCCTCACACGCCATGCGTACCAAATATGGTACTCACTCGGTTTACCTCCTAGGGTTTAATGTTTTCTGGATTATTGAGTACCATAATGGTACTCAGTGACGAAATCATGAAAAAAACTATTAGCATTTAGTTATAAAGGTCAAACGGTTATCACTCGTCAAATGGTGTGTGCGTACCAGGATTGGTACCTACTCAAAGCGTATGAGGATAGCTCCATAAAAATACCTTGGCGCTGAAGACAAACCATGTGACTATGTGAGTACTAGATAGGGTACTCACGGCAGTCAACTTGTTAACTGTATTTTAGTATTCTAAATTATAGTATTTACCTGTCTTATATCTATCGAGATTTTTCAATTTTTGTATCAGTAGTCAATACAAGAGCTTGAGTTAATATAATCGGCTTCACGCCTTAGGTACTTACACTTTGAGTCTTGTCGACCGTACGTCATACGGAAAGATAACCAACACTGCACACTAACTACGAAGTATTATAATTAAATACTTCAAACAATCGTTTTTATTTGTTCAACATTATTCGGGATTTATTTGGAATTTAAATTAGAAATCTTAAAATGTGGACTGACCGACCTCAAATAGACATTTTAACGAATTCAGATCAGTTTTCTGAAATATTATCGCCTTATTAGGATCTATCGGTAGGATGGAACAAAAAAAAAAAAGCGGGATCAGTAAGTTATAGTGACGGTTGTAGATTGATTATATGAGTATATATCTCGCGTATATTGATAATATAATAATTATTGATATCACGACTTCACTACGTATATTATGCATTTATAATTAATAAAATATATAAGTAATAAGTATATATAAGTATTGAATTGTACGTACGTAATACATTTTTTGTCATACCTGCACCGAAAGTTTGGTTTTCAATAGCGGTTGAAGCGTTCGAAAGCTTCCTTTTTCCGTCCAGCGGGCCATAAAGTGGGAATCCCTAATAGTGCCGGGCGGTAAAGTGTGAATCCCCAAAAGTGCCGGGCGCACATATCGTTATAGGAGTGACCAAAAATAGTATGTGTGGCTCGCGCGGGAAGGCCATTTCAGTCTTGTGTGAAATGGCTCACCGCCCTTGCCACACAATATACTATATTTTGTCAAACCTGCACCGAAAGTTTGGTTTTCAACCGCGGTTGAAGCGTTGGAACGCGATCTTTTTCCGCCCAGAGGGCCATAAAGTGGGAAATTCCCACTGGGAATCCCCATACTGCCGGTCGAAAAAGTGGAAATCCTCAAAAGTGCTAGGCGTATTCTATGCACAACCAGACACTGAAATCTATACCACGGTGACACGGTCCTTACAAAACATAAACTTTAGGTTACATCTTATAATCATATTATAATCTCCTTGCATGACCCGTAAACATTTTTATTTCATGGAATTGTTTTCGTAGAATAATCTGATTGTTGCTTATACCCCTGTATAGTGCTTTACATTTGGTCTTTACCGTGATTACATTTTTTTTTGTGCGTCGCGTTTGGTATAGACCATGGTAGAAGTAACTACTTCCAATAATCATTTCTATACTAATTACTTCTATCGTGGTATATACTAGGTAATAGAAAACGGGTATAACGCGAGGATTTGAAACAGCGTAATAAGATCTGCATATTATGCATTTATAATTATTATATTATAGTTTATAAATTATAAAAATTTTGTGACTTTAACATCAATTTTAATGATAAGAAATCGGAAACTTTTAAAACTTTAGTTATGGACACATTCAAATTACATATGATAAACAATTCAGCAGAATCTACAACGAGAGATGACACCATCACAGAATTTATTCTGTGACACCACTATCGATGCAGTATTTTCAAGATATTTGGAAAAAATTACATCACAAACATACATATCATATTTCAGTTATCACAGGCCTGTAATTTCGATTATTTAATATGATTAATATAATAGTAATTAAAAATTAATAGTAATAATAATAATTTTCATTTTCATTTTTTTTCACATTTACTTAAATACATTTATTTATTGATATTTACTTTTATTTGGAATGGTTCCACTGAAATGTATTTGTAATCTATAATATTTGTTGGAAAAGAAACTTCGTTTCTAACGGGTGTCCCATGACAGCACTCACTTATTTTTTTTTACAAATATCAATAAAACTTTATTTGTTGGGTCAAAAAGCGTGAAAATTTAATACAAGGCATTAAAAATACCTAGGCACTACATTTTTCAAGCATTTAAAGTTAAAATGTTGACAACATTTATCTAATTTAAAATTTAAAAATGATTTAGTAGTTCAGAATTCATAAAATGTTCAATTTTTATAGCTAAGGATTGAACATTTAAAACAAGGTTCCACGTAAGTAGGTTATTCTGTAACCAAATCTAAATATTATAAAAACAGTATTTAATTATAGTTATTTTATTTACAAATTTGCACGAAATTAGATATTTAAACGAAGAAAAATTATTTTTGTTTTTGTGTTAAATTTAAAAAATATTGTTCGTGGGTACTTTAAGTTGAAATTTCTAAAGTATTGTTATAAACAAATATGATAATAAGCAAATAATGATAATTCATTTTAACTGTATTAATAATAACAATATAAATATAATATAAAATAGCCTCAGCTGACAAACCGTCTCCACTCTGAATCGTTTTTCGTTTACAATGATATTATATCATTGAATTCAAATTTAACAATATGCATTACATTTATCCACTTGTAACCTACCAGCTCGATTTCCACTTCCCCACTTTTTTTAGTTTTGTATTTCATATAATATTCTTTAGCCATGATTTTAATTTTCAGGGCACAAGATTATTATTTTTTCACCAAGTAAATAAAAAATAGCAATAAGTTTTTGTATCAACATTTGTTTTAAACGATGAGTTTTACATAAACAAATTAACCTTATTCCACAACCACACCGTATGCGTGACACGGACGAGCTTTGTATCCGGCTTGACGTGTCAAAGCGGTGTATGAGATAATAATATGGTGTCCACGTGACCTGTTTGATGCTAGCTGTCGGATAACACTTGGGACGGGGTAGATAAAGTGAACACAGGTTAAGTTATAATTTGGTTTATTAAAATATAGGTACCTTATAAGAGATAACTAAAAACAAACTGGTATAATAATTTCGAGATCAAAGCGCGATGTTGTGTCGTGTGCCGTGTGCGTGACAAATGGCGTACGTAGGTACTGAACCGTATAGTTCCGGACTGGAGGTGTTGGTTGGTGAGACTTAAAAACAGAAGTTCCCGCCAGTCATTTAGGTACTCATAACCGTACCATGTACCGTACTGTGTGGCGGCGTTCCAGCGCTGGTGTCGCATATACCATGACCTGGGGGTTGGTTAAAAGCTTGGTGCGGCGGGCGATCGGGGTTTGAATTCAAACGCCGATTGCCCGGCAGCGTCATATTTGTCCTCCAAACCTCCAGTTATGGTGATGTTACTGCTGGTGTGTGGGTGGTTGGTCATATGTCCGTGACCGTGCTCTCCCCCTTTTTACAGCGGTGCCCGGACAGTGGTGGTGACCTGTCAGTCCTAGTTATCTCGCGTGCTGGTTACGTGGTGGTGGAGTGGAACGTGGCGTCAAGTTCCACATCGTCCTGTCACAAGTGGATAGGTTCCGTATCACCTAGCACCACCATCTCATCCGTAGAAATAGTGGCGGTGGTCGGTGGTGACGAGTCGTCCGTGTTGCCGGAGGTTAGCACGTCTGGTGCTGGCCTGTCCTGGTCCATTTTTGGGATTGGCTGTGTAGTGGTATACGTTTATGTGTTGGGCCACTGTGCTCTTGGCTGGTGACCTTCATGTTGGCCCTACTCATCTTGTCGTGATCCTTTCTTCGCTGTTTGTCCTATCGTATTTGGCTGGGTGGCTTGGGCTGGGTGGTTTGATGTGTGGAGGCGGTGATGGCGTGAGCTGTAGTGCTGGTGGTTGTATCGTTGCCGATGGTTGTGGAGCTGGTGGCTGTTTCGGCGTCCATGGTCTCACGACGGGTTGCCAAGGGATCGGCTGTGCCATGTTTTGGGCACCATTCTTTTGCCCAGTTCCCGGTTGTGTTGCGGGTGTTGGATATTGTGTTAGTCTGTGCGTCGTTGGTGGTCGTGATGGATATGCATTGACAAGAAATCTTCAGGTTAACATTGAAAAATCTAAATGCCGCTCTTATATTAAAAAAATATACTTTACTGTCGTCTGTCAACATTTTCCGCTACGATAGTGTGGACGTTTTACTTATAATAAAAATAAGAAATTATTTTGAAATTAATAATTTACTACTTGTAGTGGATGAATTGTTTGATTAGGTATCAATATTATACATTTATAAGTTAAAATATAATCGAAACATTTAATTACGAACCCTCTCAGAGGGCTCTCAGATTTTCCGACTCCACTAACGTCTACTCGTTTTATACCTATGTTTTCATTTGTGTTTATATCAATTCTATACCAACCTATTTATGAGGAATTTTTCTAACTATTAAAATCTAAGTATATTTTTTACCGCGTAATGGTAACAAAATAGAAGTTTACTGCCTGAATAGACTGAAGCGATTATGATGAAGGAGAGCGACGGGATATAGGAAAATAGATTTACATAATATTATGCCGTATTCCGAGAAGGTTAATACAAAATCAAACAATTTTATTTGCCACATGCCCACATTAAAATGTAGTCGTGTAGGCTATGCTTATATACTTATTTTATTTTATTTTTTTATTGTTACAGCATCAACTATACATGGTTATTAGCTTATAGCTAATTTTATTACCTAACTATTATTATTCTCCGTTGCCATTTTCATTTATTGAAAGATCTATATTCTATTTATAGTTGGCAATAAATATTCATTGACTTCGTAAGAACTTTAACCGAATGCATGATCATAAATTATGGACCATATTAATATTCCAGTTCCTAGAAAATCAAAAATAATTCGGGTTATATTTAGGAGATACAAATTATACAATTAATTTCACATGATTTCATACGTCAATTATAATGGTGATGGTTATAATATATTTATTATAAATTTATATAATAAATAATAATTTTACATGGTAACTTTTTAAGTACACTGGCTTAAGTGTTTCTAAAATTATAACAACATCGTAATATCTCAAAAGTATAGAAAAAAAAACAATTAATATTTTGTTCAACGCTCACAAACATATTATGGTGTACATTCATTAACATAACTATTATTATTGCACTTGTTGCTCATACATTAATGCTAAAAATAAAAGTTAACAAGTGTTTGATATACTGTTACATTACAAATCAAGTTAGAATACCAAAAAAAATATTGAAACATGAACATTAGAGTAATGTAACAAATTAAACCACAAATCCAATCGATGTAATGAATATACAACACACGTAACACATTATTTTATATATTGTATAATATAATAGGTATGAAACAAATATTCGATAATCGATTTAATATGTGAAATTTGTTTTGTTGGTCAATTCAAATTTATTGTTTTTTTTTTTTATATATTACTTTAAAGTATTTAGAATACTAGTTTAAAAAAAAAAAAAAAATTAAAATGTTTTTATATTTTTATCATACAGATTTTTAACTACATAGAAATATTGATTTCTGTTCATAAATTGTTTTAAAAAATATAATATTACTATTTGAACGGTTCCAAAAATATTAAATTTTTACTTTTTTAGACTGTACATATTTTTTCTAGCTTATATATCTGAGGATTATACAAGAACCACTGATCCGTAACAAACAATTATTAGGTACAGTATTTTGTTTTTTAAACATCCTTATAAGTTTAATCCACCATTTATAAACATTTGTTTTGCGTTTGTCTTCAAAACTGTAAAGTTTTATTGAGTTAACTAAATAATTGAAAACAATTCGTACAAGTTAAAAGTCTGTGTGATAAAAATTAAAAATAACTTAAAGTACCTACAAACATTTAAGTACTCAAAATTCAAATTATTTTAAACTTTTATCGCTCTTATATATACTTGTTTATAAATATATATCATTATTTTATAAAGATTATATTTTACCTAGGTATAATTAGGTATAAGGTAGGTATCTACGTATAATATTTTACGGATAAATCGCAAAGTACCTATTACATTTTAGGCATTTAGGTAGGTTCATGTCGTATAATATGATCAATTCCCTAACTTCGAAGTTTCTAAATGATTATTCTATTTGAATTTCAATAGGTTTTTCTATTATTATTAGATAAATGGTATTATTGGATTCCTTCATTGCCGTAATGGACTAACCCACAATTTTACAATAGGCTGGGTACAATATTCAATGCATAAACAGTCTAAGCCATATTTACGATACTCACTGGATGGCAGCACCTAGACCATTACTATTTACTGCATTTTAATGTTTAGTTTAGTTTTAGTATATTATTTTAGTTATCTACTATATAATAGTAGGTTACAGTGGCAGATACGAGGGGGGGCAAGGGGCGTCCCCCCCCTTGGGCTGACTTTTTAACGTTATTATCTAATATTTGTGCTTATTGTAATTAAATTTTTATACATATTGTACAAATAAAAACAAATATGACAAGAAAAAAATTCTCTAATATAATATTTGGCTAAACAAAAAGACAATTTAATTTTTGAAAATTCGCCCCCCTTGGATGACTTCTGGATCCGCTACTGGTAGATTAGTACATTACTGCATTGAAGGTAAATATGTAATGTCTTTTGTAGTTTTGTTATACCCATATTCAAGTTTATTATATATTTATATAGGTACCTATAATATATATAATATAATGTACCTAATGTAGTTGAACTGCAAAGCATAATATACATATTAATATTATCAATTATGCTTGATTATAGATCTAGTTTATCAGCTACTAGTTCGACATTGATTATTTTTATACATTTTATGTGGCACATTGCAGTAAAAATAAGTGCTAAAGAATTACGATTATTTATTGTAAGTGAATTAAAATATGGCCACTTTCGTAATTCCTTAATCACATTGCGAGTATCTGTGTTTTGGCAGATAAGGTCCGTAAAATAATATATATTCATTTGTCATATACTTAGGTATACTTCGTAAGGGAGGAGGTAGGAGTGTAGGACAAACTCTTACAACTAAACAGTGATCACTGAAGCACATAATAATATTAATTACAAACTTCTGTATTTCTTAAAAATATAATACAATGACAGATGACTAGTTATTATAGTTATCGTTGCAGTTCATAATAACATTATAATAATATACTTAATACTTATACGAAGTAATGTTTATTTCTAATAATCATACAAAACAACCTACATAGTAGAAATTATATAATAATATTTTGGAGTGTAAGCGACAACAAATGATGGTTTGAGGCTGTTCTGTGATGGAAGGTTTTCTATTTTTGAGTGGTGGAAGTATGTAAACATCATTACTTTAGCAATTAAAAATAGTAAATTCTCGTTGGACAACCCGTATTATAAAGTAGACCAAAAAAAATATTTCATATTTATATAATAATATATAGGTAGCAGAATTTTTAATTATGTATGTATGTGTGTATTGTGTGATACTATTGTTATACAATAATTACATTTAAAGACGAATAATGATTCAACAAAGACAATTTATTTTTCATCGATTTGTTATAGTTTTTCTCTCTCTAGATGAATTGTATAAACTTTGATATTTGTATAAAAAGGTACAAAATTACTTAGTGTTTAATTTAAATCGGTATTATCTGACAGATTTGAATTAACAAGTGGGTTAATAGACATTTATAGACATATTTTATACTTAATTTATTGAAATTACGGTAAAATTACGGTAAAATTACTTAGTTGAACTATTGTGTAATACTATGATTAATTAAAACAGAGTTTACAGCACAGTACTCACTACAGCTGCTTTCAATTGATTCAAAATCGTTGAATAATATTTCGTAGGTATTAGAAATTTCCAACAATGTAAACTTTAAATGTAAACACCTTTATCGTCAATCGCGTTTATTCATTAGTAGGTATCGTACTTTTATGAGAAGCTAAGCATAACCATATTATACTTATTCTTAAAAAAAAAATGTTTAAAGTGGGTACGTGAAATTGGTCCGAAAGAAATATTCCTATTCAATTTATATTACATTTTAGCAAATCTCATTTTATAAACTGTCAAATTATGTTGGAAAAGCCCAAAATGAACAAATATATACCTTATACTATGGATATTTTAACTCGGTTAATATCAGTCCTTCAGACTTCGCAAGCATATTTTATTTTATTAAATTTATTATATGTTAACTCATTGGCCAAGTGGTTGTTTTCGTTAGGTACAAATACATTAATCTAGAATAATTTTAATAATGGTAACATATTTATTTTTATTACATTTATGACGTTGAATGTATTTAGTTAAAATATAGGAGAATTTCCATAATATTAATATCGATATAGGTACTAAATCTATTCATATACAATAATAATATATATTAATATGTATTATAAATATTATAACCGTCCCATATATTAATTTACTAATAATAGTTATATATATTTTGGAAATACATTGATATACAAAAAGAAACTTTAAAAAACGTTTGAACGGTAAATGGCCAATTGCAAATATTTTATATTAAATAAAAAATAATAATAATGGATTTTTGTTGAAATTAAATTCGTTGGGATAAGTAAGCTCAATTCTGCGACATGATCTAAAATTAGCGCGAAAACAAATCTTTAAAAATAGGTAAAAATTTAAAAATAAAATTACCTTTGATCCCTTGAATGACTTCATTATATATTTGTCTGTTGACTTAAATACTATATAATCTTCGAAAGACCTACATAATATAGGTCGTTTAATACTTATGATGACCCGTTTATGATAATAGTATTATTATGAATAATGTATTATGTAAACAATGACTACTATGCAATCAAATATTATTATAATGCTTTAGCAACAACAGCAGTAGTGAAAATTATATCATATTTTGGGAAATTATTCATTTCGGCGGCCCGCGATTGAAGCTCTCTAGTCGATGGCGGCATTGTCAGTGAGGTAAGTGAGATCTCAACTACAATTTGGATTAAATAATTTTTAATTATTTATATTGACACTTTTTAGATCACCAAATGTACAATTAGTACATATTTAATGCGTCTTAATTGTCATCCTAAAACTCGTTATTTTAATGGATAACTTTTTAAAAACGTTTATAAATATAATTTTAAATAAATTTAAT